TTATGATGTCTGTGAAAAGGAAGGTACATGGATAATGTGTGTGTGTCTGTGTGTATGTGTGTGTGTGTGTGTATGTATGTGTTTATATATATATATGTGTGTTGTGTTTGTGTGTGTGTGTATTTATGTTTATGTATGTATGTATGTATGTATATATATATATATATATATATATATATATACATATATATATATATATATGTATATACTAATCAATATACATTATGTGTGTTTAAGGATTGATTCTTGATTGTGCGGTGTGTGTGTGTGTCTGTGTGTATGTGTGTGTATGTTTGTGTGTGTGTGTGTGTTTTCTTTTTTTTCTCATAAAACACACACAATATACAAACAAATGTTTAGCATACTTATTTAGAATTTCTATTCAGAAAGTATCTGAAGCAAGCTTATTTCATAATTATCGTAAGTATTTTATTATGATCATGTTATTAATATTATTATATTATTATTATTATTATTATTATATTATATTATATTATTATATTATTATTATTTATATATTTTCTCTGTCCTCAATAGATCAAACGATAGAGCAAACAGCTTTTTTTTCTTCTTCTTATTATTATTATTTTTCTTATTATCTTTCATCATCATCGTCGTCGTCATCACTATCACCACCATCATCATCCCATAATCATCACCACCATCATCATCCCATAATCATCACCACCATCATCATCCCATAATCATAATCATCACCACCACCATCATCACAGTCACCAAAACTCCAACACAGCCGGGACCAACCCCTAACCCACCAACCACCACTCCCCCGTTACTACTTTTCACCAACGGTGATAATGTCGATGATGATAATGATGATGGTAATGATGATGATGGTAATGATGATGATGGTAATGATGGTGATGATTGTGGTTGTGGTGGTGGTGGTGGTGATGATGATGACGTGGTTTTTGGTGGCTTTGACGTTTTTCTACTCGCTGGTTTGGCAGTCGTCGGCTTCTTACTGGCAGATGGTGTCGGCTTTTTGGTGGTGGTGACTGGGATGGTGGGGCGTCTGGTGAGAATTTGTGGCCTCAGAGTGGAAAATCCTAAAAAAAAACATTAATGATTTAAAGTCTATAATTAGTGCTAACTTGTTTAAAAAAATGCTGAAATAAATGGATGAATGAGTGAGTGAAAGAAAGATTGGATGTTCATCTATCACTCGCTCAGTCGTTCATTTTTTTATTCACCAGATGAATGAATGAATGGTGCATGAATAACCAGATGAATGAATGAGTGAATAACCAGGTGAATGAATCAACGAACGAGCTGGTTATTTGTAAAATGATAGAGAGATGAAATGAAAAAGATTGTTAAGATTGAATGATAGTAAAAGTGATACAATACGATAAAAAGGAACTTATATTATTTGTTCATTAATTCATGAATCCATTCATTAATTCATGAATCCATTCATTCATTCATTCATTCATTCATTCATTCATTCATTCATTCATTCATTCATTCATTCATTCATTCATTCATTCATTCATTCATTCATTCATTCATTCATTCATTCATTCATTCATTCATTCATTCATTCATTCATTCATTCATTCATTCATTCATTCATTCATTCATTCATTCATTCACTCATTCATTCATTCATTCATCCACTCATTCATTCATTCATTCATTCACTCATTCATTCATTCATTCATTCACTCATTCATTCATTCATTCATTCATTCACTCATTCATTCATTCACTCATTCATTCATTTATTCATTCATTCATTCATTCATTCATTCATTTATTCATTTATTCATTTATTCATTCATTCATTCATTCATTCATTCATTCATTCATTCATTCATCCACTCATTCAACCTTGTCTGGCAGTAGAGCACGATGGTGAAGGCCTGAATGGACATTCGTCGGGGTTTGCCCTTTCTACAATTATAAATGAATGAATGAGTGGGTGAATGAATGAATGAATGAACGAACGAACGAACGAACGAACGAATGAATGAATGAATGAATGAATGAATGAATGAATGAATGAATGAATGAATGAATGAATGAATGAATGAATGAATGAATGAATGAATGAATGAATGAATGAATGAATGAATGAATGAATGAATGAATGAATGAATGAATGAATGAATGAATGAATGAATGAATGAATGAATGAATGAATGAATGAATGAATGAATGAATGAATGAATGAATGAATGAATGAATGAATGAATGAATGAATGAATGAATGAATGAATGAATGAATGAATGAATGAAAGAAAGTATACAAAGTAAAGTTGCATACCCCCATTGAATTTTACTTGCTGAATTCCACAGGCCTTGTTGACAAGAGCCAAGTTGTGGTAATTGTACGATAAGCTTGGTCCAAAAACCTAGATGTTTATTCATTAATTCGTTCGTTCAGTCGTTCATTCATTCATTATTTAACGATGATTATCATTTATTCACTCATTCATTCACTCATTCATTCATTCATTCGTTTGTTCGTTTGTTCGTTCGTTCATTCATTCATTCATTCATTCATTCACTCACTCATTCACTCATTTATTCATTCATTCATTCATTCATTCACTCATTCATTCACATTGACCTCGTAATGGTCAGCATCTAAACGCTTGGCCAGCATAACGTATGTGTCACCCAACACAAAATTTGATTGACAGCTGTCACCTGATGATGATGACGATGACGAAGATGATGATGGTGATGATGATGATGAAGATGATGATGATGATGAAAAAACTCACTTGAAACTGAACAGACAACAAAATTTTTGAAGCCGCATGAGCAAGAAAAAATATGACAGAAAAAAAAATTAACAAACATTTAAAAATTTTGTATTTCACCCAGACATACAAACCTATATACAAACATACAAACATACATACAAACAGACATACAAACAAACAAACATACATACATTCATACATGCATACATAGAAACAAAATACCAAAATATACACACGAAATATACTAACTTCACAAAACATACACAGTATACAAAACTTACATTGTACACAAAACATACAAAGCATACAAAGCGTACATTGTATAAAAACATACAAAGCATACAAAGCGTACATTGTATACAAAACATACAAAGCATACAAAACATACAAAGCATACAAAACGTACATTGTATACAAAACCGACAAA